ATACAAATGTGTATATGTAGATGTCCTTACATAGGGAAATATTGAATAAAATTTAAAGCCTCATTTTTCTACCAAGATGGAAGATTGACCAATTTTTCAGTGCAAATCTCAAGAGTGAGAATAAATTTTTAAATATTTACTTGTAATGTTTTAATTATGATCTTATTTTTATGAGGAAACTCTAATCTACACAAGCACTCTGACAGTAATGTCTTTGTCAATGTGAGAACCACTTTTCAAATACCTAATCATTTTTCCTAAGTTATTTTAAATTAAATGAATGCTTTTAAAATTTATTTATAATGTCATCCCTAGAAGTTTTATTACAAGTAACTGGCATCAAATTGCATAATAGTAATATAGTATTTTTTAAACCATTTCACTCTATAAATGCTTTTTCATGATCTCCACAAAACTTTACTAAATTTTAAGATGGCACTTAAAAGATTTTATCAAAATGACATTTGACAGTTGCAGTTGTGAGATCATACTCTTACAAATAATTGCTATTTTTTTGTTATATTTTCCACCTTCTTTTTCACTGAGCCAATCAAGAAAACTTGCATAAGAACTACAAACCCTATAAGAATTTGTACAGATTATACAAAGTACAACTTCCCTTTAGTGAAAGGGTCTAGATTGATGTGTTTTTCCCAAACAGAAGCTTTTAAAAAATAATAAAGCAATTAATTGATAAAGCCCTTCATGATATAATAGACTCCAGGGCTTTCAATATCAGTACAAAGACAAATACTGTATGATTTCACCTATTAATGGAACCTAATCAACAAAACAAACAAGCAAATGAAATATGATCAGAGATATTGAAATAAAGAACGAATTGACAGTAACCAGAAGAGAAAGGGGAAGGGGGATAATGAGGAAGAGAAGGGGAAGGGTCATCAAGGAATACGTGTAAAGGATACGTGGACAAAGCCAAAGGCGGGTAGGATGAAGAGTGGAAGGTAGCGGTGGGTGGGGCAGGGGATAAGTGGTGGCAGGAAAATGGAGACAGCCATACTTGAGGAACAATAATAAATAAATAAATAATATCATTATATTGTTTTTTCAGAAAGGATTTTTGAAAGCACACTGTCTTACCTTTGGTCAATATTTAGACTTTTACTATTATCTCAAAGGAATTTATTTTAAAAGAAATAGTAATAAGTTATCACCTGTTATCCTTTGTATAAATATTGTTAAAACTCAGAGTCTTAAAACATTATCAAATAAACATAAGATTTTTTTTTTTTACTAAGTAGCTGGTTCTCAGCCTTTCTAACTAGTCATTTAGCAATGGTATCACAAATATCCATAGATTATATTTTTTCTCTTTGATGGAAAATGATTGCTAGATACATTGTGAAACCAGAATTTTAGAAGTTTAGAAGTTTAAAATTTCAGAATTTTAGATTTTTTTCTGATTTATGGGAGCAAGTCTGCACTACGTGAGTTCTACGCTTAAAGCCCTTGTCTATGTAATTAAAAAAAAATCTATGGTGGAAGAAGCAATTGGAAAAACAAAAATATTTTGGTTTAGTTTACTTAAATCATTTACAGTTATAAGATTTTGTAGGTCACTTTTGAGATTCTTTAAAAGTTGGTTCATTGTACTCTAAACTTCATGTTAGCAGATGCCATCTACTGACATCTCATTGTTATTTCCAATTATAGGACCTTACTTTTCTTGGAGACTTTAGAGGATTGCCATTGTACACGGTAGCAGATCCAAGAGCAAGGGACAAAACCAGTCATGGGCAAAACCATGGAGCTGACTTTGAGACTTTGAAATAAAACACTGAAATTCTTTGTAGGGAAAGTGTTCTACTCAATAAAATTAGGCATTGCTGTCTCTTAGGTACTTTAATTTTTTATCAATGGTTGTGTGAGTTGTGACAGAGTTGAAATGCTAAATTAAAACTGAGTTGATCAATTCTTATGTGGAGATGGGTTGAATAGCATGTGGGTGTGTGAATGTCTGAATAGCGAAGTCTTCATCCTTGATTGGAACAAATTGTAAAAAGACACACGGACTCAGTTGATGTGTGTTAGAGTTTTTGTTGGTGGCTTGGTAGGTTAGTGATTTAATGGACAAAGCTGAATTAGAGACAATGGCTTGGAATCATGGTGCATATTAGATGCTTTCTGCCCTTTCCTTTCTGAATTGTCTTTACCTTGCCGTTATAAGGCAGCTAGAGAGTATTCTGGGCCTTTCATTCAGGGATGCTAAGCCATTACACTTTAGGTTCATACATGGCAACTGAGGAGACAACAGAATGTAATTCTAGGCTGATTTGGAAATACAGAGCCAAGGTGGTGGGCCACCCATGAGGCAGTGGTCCTTTCCCCCACCCTCCCAGTCACTCAACTTCCTTTTTCTGTTGTGGAAATGAAAGAGCAGGAGATGCAAGAAGAGAAGCTACTTAGTTTTGTCATCATTGTTGTTTTTCCCCAGAGTACTACACGAGTTTATAAAAGCAGGGAAATTCCTGATTTATGGCTCCAGGAGAGGAACAGAGGATGGTCCCTGGCCTATTCCCCAACTTTTTAAAAAATAAAATCTTTCATTTTAGATTTGCAGAAAAGTTGCCACACAAGTGGATTTCCTATATAACTCTACACCCAGTTTCTTCTATCATTGACATGTTGGATTAGCATGGGCAGTTTGTCACAATTAACAAATAATACACATTAATCTACTGGAGAGTTTTTGTTTAATGAGCCAAGACAGAAATTTGAGGCAAGGAAGAAAATGTTTTTCTATACATACATTTGGCAAAAAACGATGTGTCGCCAGGGCTCATGGGCTGGGATGACCATCTGTGTGCTGCAGCCTGGACCTGCCAAACCTAAACCTTTCATCCTACAGGATAAAGCTCAATTTAGGCTTCTTTCAAATACATGGATTTGTCTTTTTCATAATAAGTGCAATTCAATTTAAAGTGTTGAAAATATAGACAAAAAAGTCAACTCTAATCCCATTGTTAAACATCACCTCCTACTAACATTTTTCTGTCTTATTTGTATTTTATATATTTATAAACATATTGTGTGTAAATTCACATTTTGTGTTTGTTTTTTACATATTGTAGTGGTGAATTTCCCACATTATAAAATTTTCCAAATCTGCTTTTATTGGCTATATACAATATCACCTTAATTAAGTATATCATCACTTAATCTTTTTCATTATTTAATGGTATTTGAGATAAAAGACTAAAACCATAACTCACTCGAGAAAAAAGTTTTGAGACATTCTGAATGCAGCCTGGAATATAGGCTGAAATTCATTTGCTTACATGAAATAAGAGAAGCTAATATGTTTATATATTTTGCTTTAAAGTCATGTAATAATGACACAGTTTACAAATTTTCTTTTAAATATGACTATTTAAATTCACCTGACTAAGAAAGATAAAGTTTGCTTTTTAAAACAAGGTAAAGTTCTTTTAAATAAATTAGCTCACAAAAAGCATGAATTATATACTTAAAAATCTTGTACTTCTTTTAGAAATTAAATAGTCTCCTCAACATCCTTTGAGATAAAACTATTGTTTTTGGCTTACCTTCAGTTGTTAGGATTTTTTGTTTGTTTGTTTGTTTGTTTGTTTTAATTACCAGCAAACTAATTCTTGTATATTGCTAACATTATCTGGGTGTTTATCATCTCATTTGCCTGATCCCAAAGCCCACACCCTTTCCATCATTACCAGTTAGGTGTATAATGGCCAGGAAATCTTATCTTGCCCATCAGTTCATCTCCACCGCATAGAAAGTGCCTGCCACATTAACCTAATGATTGCTGCTCTGACTGGTGTGGCTCAGTGGGTTGGGTGTTGTCTTGCAAACAGAAAGGTTCCTTTCTAGGTCAGGGCACACGCCTGGGTTGGGGGCCAGTCCCTGGTTGGGGGCATGCGGGAAGCTACTGATCGATGTTCCTCTCCCTCTCTTTCTCGCTCCCTTCCCCTGTCTTTGAAAATAAATAAATTTTTAAAAATGATTGTTTTCCTTTCCCAATAATCACAAAGACTACAAAATAAATTCTTGAAGAATATGGCAAATTAGAATGGAGAAATCATGTCTGGACCTGGATAAAGGTTCTGCAAAGTCCTGTGTAGAGAAAGCACAGAAAAAAAATTTAGAAAGGACTCATTATTACTTTAAGTGATTTATAAATCAATAGTAAAATATGTATTGCAGCAATTACTTTAATTATTACCATTTTAAGCCCAGAGGTGTTACAAATATTAGTTGCTCTTTTCTCTTAGATTTGAGTATAAAAGCATGCATTTATCTAAAAATAATGTATGCAAATGTAATTTATGCATCAGTTACACATTTTTATACCTTGTTAGGCAGCTACCTTGAATATTAAAAACCTGTTTTGTGCTGCTGATATAAAATATACTATTTTAGAATTTGAAATAGTTTTAATATTTTTCTATGTTTAGGTAGTGTCCACCTAGATGTAAGTGACTTTACTTAATTGCAAGAAAAGCAAAAATAAGAGAATTATATTTAGTTAAATTATAAGGGAAATGCATAATATTACATTAAATGAATGCTAGAGAACAGGATGATGAACAACCTGGGATTTGGAGATCAATAAAACAATGCTTTTCCCAACTATACTGGTTCTTAGCCTGCCTGTGACCTTCGGCAACTTTCCCACCCACTCTGAACCTTAGTTTCCTCAGTTAAGAAACAGGGAAACTTAAATGCCTAATCTATTATCATAATAACTAAATGTGTGCTAAACACTTTCAGACATTTAACACAGTATTTGACATAGAAAAAATGATGCAAATTATTTGCCATTTGGGTTCCATTACAGACGCTATTCATTTCTGGTTAGGGCAAAAGCAACCTATCAAAGTGAGCCAAAGTGAAAATTTTGAGTTCTGAGTGTCTAGACTGTCTTTATTTGCTACTCAATTTAATTATATAAAGGAATCCAGAAATCTCGAGTGACGTATTCATAAATTTCTTTGCAACCCTAGATTTCACTTGTGCACAAGATGGGGAGAGTGAGGCTGAATTTTTACCTGATGACTTTGAAGAAAAACCGGAAAGAGAAAAGAAACACGCGAACTTCACCTTGTGCAGTGTGTGCAACATCCAGCTGAACTCGACCGCTCAGGCTCAGATCCACTACAACGGAAAATCGCATCAAAAAAGATTAAAGCAGCTCAGCAATGGGATGTTGAAAAACGACAATGGTAAGTTTTCCTAAAACTATGTCTTCTCAATTTCACACCATCAACTTAAACTATGTGCGGAAGTACAGATGTGAAGGTAAGAGAATGGATTGGTTTCTGCTTTTAAAACCTAGAAAAAAATCATTAAATGAAAGCTTTATTAGCACAGTACATTAAACTAAATAATTTCTCACAGTTTTTGGAGAAGAGGAAATTTTGTTTGTTGTGTATAATTGACTGCATTAAGGTGTGATCATTACCCTGGACATCTGTTATTATTTGAAAAAGTTGACATTAGAGTTCCTTGATGTTTGTTTGCCTTTAATATCATTATCCCCAAATAGGCATCCTTTTATATTTTACACAAAACAATGTGGTTTGTTTGTTTTTTGTGTTAAACAAACATAAAAAAACCTTTCATGGCTGACAACTTTTCTGAAAGAAAGTGTTTATGCGGCCGCATCGTGGGGCCCTCGGTCTGAACTTTCAACAGCAGGGCTAGCTGGAATAGACAAATATGTCCACTGTTCTGGCATTGATGGGCTTTTCCATGGACATGTTTTGGGGAAGAAAGATGTAGGTTGTTTTGAGAGATTTTTACATTGGCTGTGCACAGAGGAGGTGGGAGACGTTGAGGCGGCTAGTTCTGGGATAGGTGCCTAGTCCGTAAGGAACAAGTGTTTGCTCCATGGGATCGGTGTTGGGTGACAGTGTGGAAAATGCTTGTGTAAGCAGGAAGCAGAGGTGTCTGGTGGTCAGTGGCGCCTGGCTATTCTCTTTAGGAATCACAAAAATAGCCACCTGATGTTCAAAGTTTCAACATGCACTCCAGAATGTGAGCAGTCTTGGGCTGCGTTTGCCCTGCAGTTGTTAACTGATTAACTTCTCTTATCTCTTCCTTCCTTCCTCCCTCCCCCTGGCTTGCTGTAATTTAATTTATGACATCTCAGAATTTTATCCTCGTCATATGCATGTCAGAGGCTTCAATTGGTTGGTAAGATTGAAATTGATTTGAAAAAAATAGATATCTTTTAAAGTACTGTTTTAACCAATAAAATAGTATCTACTAATATATACAGATTGTTTAAATTTGCTAGTGAAAATTCAGTTAAAGTGATTTGTTTAATCATGTTAGACTATTATTTTAAAGCATGTGTTGATTTTAGGAATACATACATTTTAAAAATAGCAAAAAGATACCTGTGGAAACAAATGGAAGGTTATTAGAGAAAGCTGGAGAGGGAGGGGAGGGTGGGTTTCTGCACTGGGATGGTAGAGAGATAAAGCAGTAGCAACTCCAAAGCGTTACAATATTGTATTCTGGTGGTATGTTTCATCTTTGATAAGTAAAATACATTTTATCAACATTTTAATTATGTTTAAAAATGTGGCTAAATTTTGATCTGTTTGTATATTTGACATCAGGAAGATTTTAAGTATAACTTCATAGTTTGCTTCAAGGTTACCCAAATCATAAGAAAACAACAGTACATTTTTTCAAATGGAAATTATTTCTACCTTGCTTTGTGTTACTTAGAATAAGCTGCTTCATTCCCTCCATACTTCTCTTTCTGTTGCATGACAAATAGTTAATTGTGGATGTTACTGGTGAAAGAGACATAAAATTAAAAATGGTCATTGGAAAGTAAGTGAAAGCTGCTGAATTCTATAGACAAGGTGAATTAGAAAGGCAAATGTATGTATGTATGTGTGTATGTATTTATTTTTTTATTTGGAGTGGGACAATATGTCTTTATTTTTTAAGTATATTTTATTGATTATGTTATTACAGTTGTCCCATTTGCTTCCTTTCCTTAATTCCCCTCCACTCAGCATCCCCCCACAGGTATTGCACCTACTTAGTTCAAGTCCATGGGTCAAACATATGAGTTCTCTGGTTTCTCCATTTCTTATACTATTCTTAACCTCCCCTGTCTATTTTGTACCTACTATTTATGCTTCTTATTCCCTGTACCTTTTCCACCTCTCTCCCCAGCCCCGCCTCACTGATAACTCTCCATTTCTGTGATCCTCTTCCTGTTCTGTTTGCTTAGTTTGTTTTGGTTTTTGTGTTTTTTTTTTTATGTTCAGCTGTTGATAGTTGTGAGTTTGTTGTCATTTTACTGTTCATAGTTTTGATCATTTTCTTTTTCTTAGCTAAGTCCTTTTAATATTTCATATAATAAGGGCTTGGTGATGATGAACTCCTTTAACTTGACCTTATCTGGGAATCACTTAGTCTGCTCCTCCATTCTAAATGATAACTTTGCTGGATAGAGTAATCTTAGATGTAGGTCCTTGCCTTTCATGACTTTGAGTATTTCTTTCCAGCCCGTTCTTTCCTGCAAGTTTTCTTTTGAGAAATCAGCTGATAGTCTAATGGGAACTCCTTTGTAGTAAGTGTCTCCTTTTCTCTTGCTGCTTTTAAGATTCTCTCCTTATCTTTAATCTTGGGTAGTATAATCATGATGTGCCTTGGTGTGTGCTTCCTTGGTTCTTTGGGACTCTCTGGGCTTCCTGGACTTCCTGGAAATCTATTTCCTTTGCCAGACTGGAGAAGTTCTCCTTTGTAATTTTTTCAAATAAGTTTCAATTTCTTGCTCGTCTTCTTCTCCTTTTTGCATCTTATGATTCAGATGTTGGAATGTTTAAAGTTGTCCTGTAGGTTCCTCAGCCTCTCCTCATTTTTTTGAATTCTTGTTTCTTCATTCTGTTCTGGATGAATGTTTTTTTTTCCCCCTTCTGCTCCAAACCGTTGATTTGAGTCCCTGTTTCCTTCCCTTCACTGTTGGTTCCCTGTATATTTTCCTTTATTTCACTTTTCATAGCCTTCACTTCTTTCTCTAATTTGTGACCATACTCAACCATTTCTGTGAGCATCCTGATTACCAGTGTTTTGAACTCTACATCTGTTAGGTCAGCCATCTCTTCTTAGCTTAGTTCTATTTTTGGAGATTTGATCTGTCTGTTCTTTCATTTGGGTGCTACCTTTTTTTGGGGGGGGGGGTTCTTGGTGCACCTGTTATATAGTAAGGGGTGGAGCCTTAGGTATTCATCAGGGAGAAGCAACCTATGCCATTGTGTTGTGGCAATGCATGTGGGGAAGGGGTCCAAGAGGGAACAATGCCACTTGGTTGGCTCTCAACTGGATTTCAGTCACTTCCCCCACTACCCACAAGTAAATTTGGCCCTTCTGGTGCTGATTCCTGGGTGGGTGCTTTTGTGCACATTCTAGGACCCTGTGAGTCTCTCCAACAAACTCTCCTGAGAGGCTGGGAGTTTCTCCTACTGCTGCAACCTCCATAGGTTTTTACAGCCAGAGGTTTCGAGGCTTTATTTCCCTGCACTGGAACCCTGGGTTTCATGGTCTGTCTTACTCTCCAGTTGTTCCTCTTGGTTTATTCACACACCAATGTGGGGGCCAACTTTTCCTCCAGCTACTGCCTTGCTGCATGTCCTCTCTGCCCTGACTGCCAATCTCCACCCCTCCTACCAGTCTGGATGATTGTTTCTTCTTTAATTCCTTGGTTGTTGGACTACCATAAAGTTTGATTTTCTGGCCATTCTGGTTATTTTTTGTTTTTAAATTTGTTGTCATCCTTCTTTTGGTTGTGTGAGGAGGCAAAGTATATCTACCTACACCTCCATCTTAGATAGAAGTGCAAATGTATTTATTAATTCATATTTAAAAATATGTATTTTACAGCCTATATTTTGAAATTATTAAGGGAAACCTATCCTTATCATTGACATGTATGTAAAATTGTCTTAAGCACAGCATGATTCAATTTCAAGTTGTTTTTCTTAAGTTTGTATTATTGGAAGTCAGTAGTGTCAACTTTGTGGTTTTATTTCACCTACCTTGGTGTTTACTGATTTCTTTTGGAGTAGTAATGAACAATAACCTAGAAAGAAACTAGGACAAAAGACACATCTAGTTTAGAAACTCGTAACAGAGCTATCCCAGAAAAAACTTAGAATAGTCACCAACTTTCAAACCATAATCACAGGAATGAGTTTCCTAAGATCAATTATTTCAAAAATAATTCTATCAGTGCACTTATTATGGGCTAGCGTTGTGTTAAAGGCTTTATGTACATTTCTAATTCATGTTTTTCTTACAATCACAGAGATGTTGCCATTATCTTCCTTCTACTAATGTGGAAATTAAGGATACCATCAACTGAATTCCTGGGTGGGTGCTTTTGGGCTGGAGATCACTCAACTATTAAATAGTCAAACTAGCAAACTCAGGTCTTACTCATTTCAGTACTTTCTCTTCTAAACTCTAGTGTCTCTCCAAAATGAATTGTCTGTCCAAACTCTGTATTTATTCATTCAAAGAGAGAAATAATTTTAAGAGAACATAAAAAATGAAATTCTATCACAACCCCAACAACAAATTGATCAACATGCTACTTAACAAATTTTATTGCTATTTTTTGTATCCTTATATATTTTTCCCAAGGCACTTTACTTAGTAAAATCATTAAAAACACTCATGAATTAATCAGTACACTTGGTTTAGGTCATATTAGTTGGGACTGAAATCATACTTCAGAGGAGACCTCAACACCAGTCCTAGCTAGATCTGACTGCAGGTAGATCTAACAAGCTGACCTATTGTGTCAGCTTTATTTTATTCATACCATCTTTGTCATATTTGAGTTATTTTATTAAACCTGGTTTTCTATTTTTATTGGGCTGGAAATGCTATCAAATAATTCAGTTTTATCTAACACTATTCCAGAGTATTTTAGTGCTCATTGTTTTGTGGCACATAAATCTAAAGTATTTTCACTCTTATCTTTCACCTTAACATTAAATTTTCTTTTATTTAGCAGAGAAGCTAAATAAAATTTTATTTCTAGCTCTCACTGATTTCGTCTTTTTTCTCTTTGAATTGATTGTCCCAGATGCAGCTTAAAAATGTCAGGAGATTTTCAATTTATAAGATGTTTCTTCTTCTGTAACATTGGTAGTTATTAAAAACAAAATAGCTTGACAGAATTTCCTGCTAC